CCTAATTAGCCATTGAAAAATAGAATAGCCATAACCAGATGCCTAAACAACTGCAGATTCAAATATGATGATATTGTAACAATAAATAAAGTTGATTTTCCTGTTATATTAGAGTGAAGGCAGATAGGCAGGAACACTAACTGTTCTGTTAGATCAGCAAATAATAGCCAGTGGATGCGCTTATTTTGTTCCTAAATGGCTACTGTACAACCTACAGTGCCGCATCATGATTTAGAAATGCTAATTATAGTGATATTTATTAAGAAGCATAGCTACTATCTGTATGTCAAAGGCGATTTAGTGATCTTTGTCCAAGCTTGCCTGTTTTGCAGATTAAAAACTATAACATTTTTATTGCTGGACCACCACCAAGGCAAGGATATTAATTTCATCATATTTTGACAAATCTGAACGATGCTATCCAATCAGACTGATGAGATCGTGTAGTCGGGCTAAGGGTCATTGTGACACAATTTTAGCTACTATTTTCGTTGTAATATTAGCATCATAAAATGGCTTATGCAGTTTGAATGCTAAGCCCTCACACATCAAATGATACGTTTATCTCCAACATAGCACTATATTTGAGAGTATAAAAACTCAATTATGCCTAGTGGCCCGTCCTAGGGCCAAAGTTTGCGAAGTTCGCGTCAAAGAATGAGTTGACTACTAATTGGTGAGATTGTCAACACATGGTGACTAAACATTATTAGATAATTAAGAATTCAAAGACAAAGTAAATGATTACTCAGACTTAATTTGTGTTTTTTTGCAAGAATTTTAAACACCTGTTTTCAGAGTTGTGATCATCAGCTTGATGATTCAGCGCCATCTTGGAAAATACTGTCCATTGTAATGCAGTTGCTTGGAATATGACCATTAACAAAATATGAACGCAGGGCTTTAATTAAAAAAAGGGGGGGAGGAAAACTTACGACCAAAAAAAAAAACAATGGTATAAATCAGGGCTGCCCAACCCTGTTCCTGGAGAGCTACCATCCTATAGGTTTCTGCTCCAACCCTAACTCAACACACCTGATTCAGCTCATTAGCAGCTCGTCAAGACCTGTAACTGGGAAAGCAGGTGTGGTTTGCTTTGGTTGGAGTGATGAACTTCAGGATGGTAGCTCTCCAGGAACAGGGTTGGGCAGCCCTGGTATGTCCAGGCACTCAAGATGGTTTGAAAAAATATAAAAGGCCTTTAATTCATAGGGTTATGAACAGATTAAAAATACACCTTCCTCAGGGTGCAAAAACAGCAGAGAATAAATACCAGCAACAGGTTTCAAAAAAGTTGGGACAGGAACAACAAAGGACTGGAAAAGATGTATAACATTAAAGAAATACACCAGGTGGAACATTTCTCGGCTAATTAGGTTAACTGGCAACATGCGAGCACCATGATTGGACATAAGTGGTCATTCAAAAGAAAGATTGAGCAAGGGCTTAACCACTCTGTGAAAGACTACTTGGGCACATAGTTCCACAAACTTAGAAGATTGTTTCACAACATACAATTGCAAAGCAGATTTCATCTTCTATGGTAGGCGTAATATTATCAAAAGAATCCGAGAATCCAGAGAATTCTCCGTACGCTAGGGACAAGGCCAAAAAACATAACTGAATGGCTGTGATCCTCAGGCCCTCTAGTGGCACTGCTTTAAAAGCAGACAGGATTCTGTTGTGAAAATCACTGCATGAACTCAGGAACACTTCTGTAAACCACTGTCAGTGAACAAGGTTTGTCGCTTCATCCATAAATGCAAGTTAAAACTCTGCTATGTAAAGATTAAATTCATACATAAACAAGATCCAGAGATGCTGCTGCCTTATGTTGGCCCGAGCTCATTTAAGATGGACTGAGGCGAAGTGGGAAACTGTCCTGTGGTCTGACCGATCAAAATGTGAAATTCATTGTAGAAATCATGGACGTCAGGTCCTCTGGGCTAAAGGGGAGAGGGACCATCTGGCATCTTATCTGCATACAGTTCAAAGGCCAGCATCCATGATAGTATGTGGATGCTTTAGTGCAACATGTCTGTGAAGACATTATTAACCCTTTCAGCGCCGAATACATTTTCAAGGAATTAAAAATTTAGTTATCCTGAGCTGTTGAAAACCTATCATGTGGCAACTTGTTTAAAAGAGCTCCCCTGTGGGAGTTGCCGCACGAGTTGCCGCACGATAGGTTTTCAACAGCATCTGACCTTGGTATCTTACATCATTGGGCAACTATAGTTGCCCACGGCGCTGAAAGGGTTAGTGCTGAATGATCTATGCAGGTCTTGGAGCGATATACTTATTCTGCCATCCAGATGCATTTTTCAGGGAGGGCCCTTCTTATTTCAGCAAAACAATGCTCAACATTCTGCACGTATTACAAGAACATGGCACCAGAACAAAAGACTCTGGGTGCTAAACTGGAATGCCTGCTGTCCAAACCTGTCACCCCCTGAAAATATTTGGCACAGTATGAAGCAAAAATATGACAAAGAGGGCCATCAAGTGTTGAGCAGCTGAAATCCTACATCAAGCAAGAATTGGAAAACGTTTTGCTTTCGAAGCTACAGCAGTTGGTCTCCTCTGTTCCCAAACGCTTACAGAATGTTATGTCATGGTTTTGACTGTGTTTGTGGTTTTTAGACTCTCTTTGTAGCTCTTTTCGGAACCACTTCTGTTCCTTTAATTTTCGGATTCCTTCCAGCTGTTTCGTCAGGCATGAGCGGCACCTTCCTCTGAGTCTATATAAGCCGGATGTCCGCCATGCCTCCCTCGCTGGAGTGTCTGATTTTAGCTAACACAACAGCCAGAAGATATCTGTAGTCAGGAATTGTTGGTGATATATCTTCGCATTATTTTTGTGGTTCCTATTTCTCCAGGGAAATTCCCTTTTCTTCCTTTCCCTCTCTTACCTTTGTGTTGCACCATTTTAGGTGCTTTGTTTTCTCAGTTCCCGAGATACTTCCTCTTTCTCTCTCTCTCGCTTTGCTTCCTTGTTTCGGATGGTTGGACGTCCTTTTGGAAGCGCGAGAGCTGTCTCTGTTGTTTGGTCTGTATCTCTCTCTGTGAGTGTTAAGTCCGTGCTGCTCTGGTTTTCTCCTACCGCTGCACTTGGCCTCTCGATTCTATCGGCCTTTACATGTTAAAAGAAGAGGTAATGTGACACAACGGTAAACATGCCCCTGTTCCCACTTTTTTTAAATGTGTATCTGGCATCAAATTCAAAATGATTATATAGTTTTCAAAAACAATGACATTTCTCAGTTTCAACATTTGATATGTTCTCTTTGTACTATTTTCTATTAAATATAGAGGTTGAATGATTTACAAATCATTGCACTCAGTTTTTATTTACATTTTGCACAGTGTCCCACCTTTTTTTTTTTCAAAATGGGGTCATACTACTACTCTGAAATGACATATTGTTTTCAATTCAAATTAAATTTTTGCAGGCACATCTGTCCAGGGTAAGTAATTTTCGTGGTGAAATATTTTATGACTATGTCAGCTACGAAAAAAGTGATGGGAGTGTGATGAGTAACATTAGAATGGATGTAACGCTCACAAAATATACATTACCGGTTCAAAAGAACAGATGTTTTTGGCATGATCCCTTAAACACAGTTTATGTACTCATCATTTCATACATCAGAGTGATTTAGCTTTCTGTAGTATTATCGCTTTTTTCACTTTTACTGTTACTGGTTATTTGTTGATGTTAGCGGACTGCATGTCAAAGCTAAGAGAGCTGAAAAGAGGCAAGCAAGGCACTGCAGAGTGTGCATAAATGTCAGTTCCCTTGGATTTTTGAGTAAAATGAGATCCACTACCTTCACATAAAAAAATTTAAAAAAATGTTCCACAGGCTGTTATAGGCATCCAAGAAAGTTGGGAAAGGTCTCTTTTTTTATGTTACTTTTTAATGTTTTTCTTTAAGTTACAGTCCATTCACAAATCTGCAACATAAAGTGATTAATACATGCAAAAAAAAAAAAAAGTTGCACATGGCATCTTTCATTAGGATTTGAATTTGCAGCTTGTTTTTCTTTTCCTTATTGCTGAGCAAGTCTAAATATAAATACAATCTCCAATTCGGAAAGACCAATCTCAGAGAATTAGCTGCTCTTGCAATTATTCACAGCTAATTTCAGCGGTTGGACTGCCCAGCAGGAAGCAATGATAAACAGAATAGCATAAATAAATAAAGAAATAAATCAATAATGTATTACTGATGACACAGTTTCATACGGCTGTGGCCATTATCGGAGACAGAAGCCTAATACAGGCTTACTGGAATTCCCATTGGCAAAAACCTTTCCATTGAATTCATAATGCGTGACAAAAAAGACCGCGGGACCATGTGAGAAATGGGTCTAAAGAGAATCTAGGGATGTAGAAAACCATGAATATGTACAGCAGTTCATTAATAGGTTATCCGTTACAGTTAAGCTGATTTTATATGTATTGTCATTAAATATACTGGAATAAATGCTTTCTGGATTTATTTTGCATACACATAGCATTGCCTCAATATCTAATGCATGCTTCAGTCTCTTCCTTAACTGCAGTCATTATTGGCTAATTTGTTTCAGAATTATTTGTTTTGTATAATTATGATGGCATTTAGTTTTAAATAATGTAATGCATCTAAATGATATTGTGATATAACATGATGAGAAAACACATTTCCATATGCGTCATACATTAGAAATATATGAAAGTGCCATTAATCTTTTGAATGGCAGAATGCAAATTTAGTGATTCCCTAAACTGGTTTCCTTTGACATTTTTACCGATGATAATTTCAATGTTCATATAATTAACAATTTTACAACAGACACTCATATTAATAGTCATATTTTCATGGAGATTATAATCATTTTCCCAAAGATGGCACCAGAAAAAAAAATTTATCAGCTTGGCTTATTGATATTGGAGTCATCGTCAGCAATAAACTGCCAATTTATACCGACACTGCTCAAGACCGGATCAGAAAATCTGAACCCGAGTGAGGATCGAACTCAAGACTTAGGGATTCCGCCCCACTGCTCTACCAACCGAGCTACCGAGTCTAGTTGGGAGTGGTTTGCAAGTTTGATCTCTCAAGACCATAATACACCTGACATATTGTCACAATGAACATTGCTTATTGATGTAACAGGTTTTTTCACAAGTTAATAGCCTGAGGGCAGGACAGCCATTTTTCCTCGGGGGGTGGGGTGGGGGTGGAGGGGGCGATGGGATTGCAGAAACGAGATGTGCGGTTTTCATGACAAATGTTAGTCTTATGTCTGAATGTCTGACCAGGGGTCCTGCTGTATTCAAGAGGTGGTTCAAAGTGGGGCTGCAGGGAAAAAAAAGGACAGCTCAGTCAAGGAAACTCTCCACGAGCTACGTACCAGCCAACAAGTTGGCTTTGCACATTTTTGATATCGTGAATTTTTATTTTTATGCTTGTATTTGATTGTCAACGCTATTATCATTGTCATCAGTGGTAGCAGTCACACATTTGTCATCCTCATTGTCACAACTCCTACAGATCTCATGCAATGGCTAAAAGGCTCTTCGCCAGTGCAAAAAAAAGAAGTCTTGAAATAAAAATTGCCCATTCTTACTGCCTAAGGCTGCAATCAGCATTGAGCATCACTGTAATATTTGCTGAAAAAGAGATACTTGAAATCTCTTCGATAAAATCCCACTCTGCTGTTTCACATTGTTGTCATCCCTCCTCCTGTTCTCAAGAAATGTCTTCCTGCATGTCACAAGGCTACTTGTGTTTTACGACACTTTTTCAAGGTCAATAGCGCAGTGTTATCTCACTGGCAGCCTCTGAAGATTCTTCGCTTTTTTTTTTTTTTTTTTTTTTGGAGGGGATGAGTAATTACATGATGCCAAGTCTCAGAGCTGCAATTTAAGGTTAACCAGAGGGAGGGGACTCCATTTTTCTTCTGATGGTTTTAACGAGAGGTGGGGCTGAGGGACAAAAAAAGATAACAGGGAAAGCGAAAGCGGGACAAAGCTGAATCTCGTCCAGGGTGCCGACTGTTCTTTATCACAGCTGGTCTTTTAGGGTCACAGCTGGGTGCCGAGGCCTGGTTTCCCCTTTATTACAGATCAGCAGCAGCCACAACAAAGGAACGGTGCCCGTCAAACCTGTTCTTTAACCTGACAGGTTATGGTCATAACCTTTTAGCCCTATGAGCCTGGCCAGACTGGCTAACTCCTCAGGGAAGTGCTTCGCTAATTGGCAGATGGCTCATTTCCTCTCCTCATTAGCCTCTGGTCTCTTGCAGGTGGGGCTCTAATAGGAGGACGCCAAAATGAACATTAATCAACGACAACAGATAATGAACTCTGCCAGATATATTCAGATAAAAATCTTCAATTGCATGTTCGTCCTGCTAGTATTTTAGACATATACATACACAGATAGCTCCTCTTTTGCCAGTTAACTGTAATTTTACAATAAATTTATAACTGAGTTCCATGTATTTTAAGTGTAAACCACAGTTAAATGCACACAGGAACTCTATTCACAGTTAAAATAACAAGGAAACAATGCGTTAATTTAACTTTTAAATTCAGTCAATTTACATAACAGTGTACCTGGGGACCATGGCAAGACTGTATTGTGGCAAAATACTTTCAGAGATGTCTGCCTCATGGCTCGGGCAAGCAAGAAACTGAATCTTGCACAGCCATAATCCACAGAATAGCAGCAAAGTTTACCTGACTCAACTATTGATTTTTCTTCTGTTTGCCTGGTGGTGCATATTGAATAAAATAAATATCATAAAGGAAATGACTTATCGTTTTCCATAACCTGTTCCCAACCCCGCCACAAGCCCCTTCTCCTGCTTCAGCGTACACATACTTTATCACCGGCAGTTTCCGAAGCAAGTTACCAGGTGTTGGAAACCATACATCTCCCATTTAAACTGGGCTCTTGAACACTCCTTGATGCATGGGGTAATTCAATATGAATCAATCAAGCCACAGTAATGTATGTGATGAGAGAGGGCAAATTTGTTTCGGCCTGACCGTCCTTATTGTTTGGAGGGCAGCAAACTCCCAGGGGGCAGAAAGAGGCAGATGGAGCCGAGTGTTGTCACCACTGACTGAACAGGTAATGAATTATTCTAGTACAAATGGGCTCCACCACAAGGGAAAAGGATGGTTCTCTCAGAAGCAGCAATCCAAAGGAAGGCGTGCAGCTCTAACGACGAAGTTCTGCTTTCCAGCTTTCTGTGCTGATGTGAAGATACCCTTAATACTTTTTCAGTGGTGCCTATTAAGGCTATGCTTAAAATATCGATACGGCAATGTATCGGAATTGTCTAATTGACAATGCATGTAGCGATACAGTGATATTCCTATCGATGTTGATTCTTGTTGAATAATTTATATGAAAATAGAAGCTTTATTTCATCTCAGCCATTTGGTGGCATTTGAAGTAAAAATGAAAGGCTTTGGATGAACAGATGTTGGCACCACACACTAGACAACTATATAATGACCTGGAATAGCAGAGAACAAGGTATTGTGCACACTAGTCGTGGTTATAGCCAAGGGCTTTGTTCCGATACCTACTCTTACAGTCTTCAGCGTGCTGTCACGCGCCAACAAATAAATATGAAAGTCTGTCCTATTTCCAAAAATTCCCAAGCTCAGGTGCACTTCATCTACACTTTGTGAGCCCTTATTCCCTTATTTCGATACCACCTCAGAGCGCTATTGAGGGCAAAGTGTATCATACAATGCATCAGGATTTTGTTTTCAGAAAGGAAGGAGTGGTTAAGATGATGGGCAAGAAAATATTCCAATGAAAATAAAGTGATATCAGGTTGCTGAAGCTTCTGTTACTGGGAAATATGCTCAAAGTAAATCAAGTTATATAATTAGTTGCTTATTTGGTGCAAGGTGGGCATGAAACTCAGTCTTTTTCCTGTCCTGACATTCCAGTAAAATCAAGCAAGTTCAATTTTATCAGAAGTCTTTAATCTCTTGCAAGTAGTGAAGTTCAACATCAACATCCACTGAGTGCGCTCTGCAAGATCGCCAGTCTTTGCAAAATCTTATAGTTTGTGAGTTAAAACTGTTTAATGATGCATTTTTTAATGTGAGAGGGTGTCAGACATCATTCTTGAATGTTTTTTTAAAGTGATCTAGTGTATGGTAGGTATTACCAACTGATTTTAGGCCACTGTCCAATGTTAGCTTCGCTGTTAACATAAGCTACATTGCTCTATTTTAAAACCGACATGCATTTTACTGGTTTTAGTCCGATCAAAATTTGTAGTGAAGTATTATTGTTGGATTTTTAAAAAAATCACTCAGGGTTGCATGTCATTGCACTGGGTCTTGACAATTTAAGCATGTATAATCAGGTAAGAGGACTGTACTATTTTGACTTGTTAGAAATGGCCCAATTATAGCGAATTTTCCACAGAAAGTTAAAACTCCTTTGACCCTCACTCATTTTGAGTGGGCCCGTTATCTGCTACCGGGTTAATATAAGCAGACATTTCAATTGCTAAGTTTCAATTCCCCTGTTCTCTTCCTCAAGAGTTATAGTATCTAAACTTTTCAGAAAAGTTGTAATTGAGAGGTTGGCATTATGCTGGCCTAGCCATTGCATACAAATTATGCGAAAAGACTACTTTCTTGGTTCATCAAAACCTGTAACGCAGCCCAAAAAACAATGTTTCTTTTATTGCTTATTTGGTCTTGGGTGACTTTTAAAATTTAAAAAGCATAAAATAAGTTATCGCTTTTTTATGCCTCCTCCATCACCTTTACATATCAAATAAAGATGAATATAATTATGCAACAGTTATGTTAGGCTGATAGCTGCTCAAAAGTGGATGCACGCTAGAAATATTGTGTATCACAGGTTTTCGCATGGGGTCACAGGCTTCAAATACCCCGTGACTGTGAACCACAGACTGTGAAATTCATGACAACAGTAAGCTCTTTTTATTGAGTCGTCACATTCTCTGCTCTGTTCTGTGAATATAAGATCGATTTCTGCTCGAAAAAGAACAAAGATATGATAGAGAGGTTTAGTAGAAATATTCCTGTGCATTCTATTGGTGCGTCGAAATATCCTTAGAACTTGAAATAGTCTTAAGTCCGAGTAGGAATAGTGCTCTCGAACACCTCTGTAAGTGAGATTTTCCACTGGGAAGCCCCAGTATGATTTCTGAACTTCCAGTTAGCAGAACTAAATATTTATTCCATATTACACAATTTTTTTTCAGCACCGGTATTACACTTTTGGGACCACAGTTTATGCTTAGTGACTATAAATGAGAAGCAATTGTAAATGAGAAATATACAAGCAACTGCTTTTTGAAATAGGATGCTTTTGTGAGCCATATGACCAGCTGTTCGTGGAAGTTTTTTGTTGTTTTTCTCTGGTATAGCTCTTGAATGCGACTAAGTGGGAACTTTCAAGTTTTACCTGGGAACTTCCCAATTCCCATATCATCTCAAGCACAGTATTATTATGCAGCTTCCTTGGAAAGCCACGTAAAGGTTTAATAACTTCTGAAGATTTCCATAGTTGACTGGTCAATACCCCAGATGAGACCATTAGCTAATGTTTGAAACGAATAGAATATTCTGATATTCTGATTGTTTGGCTACTAGGTTGTACAAACAAGTTAGCTTATAAACAGCCGATCAGTTTAATAACTACAAAAGTTAGAATGCTTTGCAGCAACAAAGTGTTGTTTGGATTTGTGACTTCAGTGCCAGGAAAGAAAATTTCAGGGGCTGCTAATTAAAAAATAATTTCTTTATATTCAATGTTATATAGTTATCAGTATTGTACTTATCCCAGACAACTGCAGGCTTCCCTAAAACGACTTGAGAAACATGAAATCAAAATTTCTTGCAAGAATTTGCTCCATTTCATTATTGACAGGACTCAGCTGAAATCCATCCATTTATTCTCTCCCTCATTAATTCTACCCATTCGTCTATTTATTTATTTATTTTATTAAACTTTGACAGCAGTCAGGATGAAATCGCACAGGTGACAAGGCACCTATAGTGAGCAATCCTCCAA